GCGCGCGTGCGCGTGGAGGGGTGGTGGTGCCGCCGGGTGGGAAGTGTGTGTGTGTGTATTAGGGTGATGCAGTGGGTAGGAAGTGTGTGTGTGTGTGTGTGTGTGTGTGTGTAGGGACTTCAGTCCTGGGACCTCCGAGACTCGTGTGGAGTTGGTCTCCTGCTAGAAGCGGTTCTTGCTGTGGGGAGTCTGGGGAAAGGCGTGGGCCCTGGTACTGGCCTGGCCAATGGCTGCTGGCTGTGATGAGTGCCGCGGCATGTGCAAGCTCAGTGGCTGCCCCGCGGTGCTGGTGACTGGGGGCATCAGGGCGTTTTGGGTCGTGAGTGCAGGGCGTTACACGGGAGCCTCTGCTGGTGTGCTCTCTCCAGTGGTCTGCTCTCTAGAGGTCTTCCTTCCCGGATAGGGGTTGCTTGGGCTGATAGGAGTGGGTGTAGCTGCCTGCCAAATCCTCAAAAGTAGCCTTCCTCCTACCCTTTGACCTCACAGGGGAAGTTAATGCCTGCTGAGTGCTTGGGCCACCCTTCCCTATTTGCGTCTAGGCTATGGCAGCACTCCCAGCACCGCTATATCCCTTCTACTTTCAGCAAGCCCTGTGGTTGGCAGAGGCACCCTTCCTTCCAGGGATCCTCCTGGGCCCTGATGCGTCCTCTTCGGTCTTGGCCCCATAAGCCCTTCTAACTCCTCTCTCAGCTGTCTCCAAACTTTGTCCCAGTTTGAGGATCCCTGGTGTCTGGGAGACAGGCCACCAGAGGGATTTTTCCCTCCCCTCTTCCTGCATCACCCTTTGTTGCATCCCACCTTCAGCTGGAGAATTTCTCCATCTCTCCATCTCTGCATTTTCAAACTTCACTGCTTGGAACATCAAATGTGACCTTCACGTCATTTAACAAAGCATGATTGAGAGTCTGTGGGATACCAGAGGTGCCAGGTGCTGTTTGCAGGCGCTGTTCTAGGCTCATGACTCCCTGACTGGCCCGTGGGCCCTGTGTGGTCTTAGAGCCCTGGCTGAACATAGGTAGTAGGTGCTTTCTGGTGTTTTATTGCTCTGCGCTTGATCTCAGCTTAAGCAGCATCATTCAGACAAGCAGGACTCCAAAGTGACTGGTGTTTCTGGAGGTGGCTGCCTTGAGGAAGAGAAGGCATGAAGAAGAAGGGCCTTCAGAGAGTTGGCTGCCCAGGAAGGTTTCCCTCCTTTACCAGCTGGGCAGTTGTGCTAATCTCTGAGGGCAGGTGAGGGTGCCTCCCTTCCCATGTTTGAGAATGGGAGGAAAATCTCATACCCTGTGTAGGAGGGGAGGGGGCCCTGCCCTGTAGGTCATGGTGATAGTGGAGGCCAGGGAGTTCTGGAAGCCCTGGGTTCTGGAGACATTTCCTGAGGCCTCCCTTGGTTCACTGTACGCTCAGGGATTTGATGGGTTTTCAGTTTGGCTGAGCCTACAGGGTATCATTGTGCCAGTCCTGGGCAACCTGGCTGGAGTTAAAATCTAGTGGAGGTTATGGACAAGTTTACAGCAGTTCTGTGGAAGGTTTAAGAGTGTTGTATCAGTTTATTGAGACTTACTCTTTATGGACGCATACACCAAGCGCTATCCTAGAAGCTTTACTCGCATTAACTCATTTAATCCTTGAACCGACATAGTATGATAGATAATGTATCCGGCCCCTGGGACAGAGGAGGACACTGTTCTAGAGAGGTCACAGAGTAACTTGCTCCAGGTGTCAATGTGAGCCGCTCTCGTCATTTCAAATTTAGACAGAGCCTTCGTATGGAAGGTGTTTAGGACACGGCGCAAGGCTGGCCCACAGTGGAGCTGGTAGGTCCTTCAGTGCAGGATCCTTGATCCCCTGCTTCTGAGAGCATCTCATCTGTCTAGGCACACAGCCGGCATCCCTGGCCCCCTGTTGAGGGACTGGTGATGAAGCTTTTGTCTCCCTTGGGCCAGGGACTGGGAAGCCCAGCACTTCCATGCAGAGAAGATTGGGGAGTGAGTCACGGCCTCTATCTGTCTAGATAGATCAGGGTTTGCTGTGGTAACAATCCCCAAATCTCAGAGGCTTAAAGCAGCAGCAGTTTATTGCTCATACCATATCCATTGCATATCTGCTTTCTGTTGTTCTCACTGCAAGCCCATGCTGATTAATTGGAACATTCCCGGACACTTGGACAGAGGGACAGAGAGCGGGATCAGTCTCACCCCGGCTCTTAAGGCTCCCACCCAGAAGCGGCATTTCACTGGTCGAAGCAGCCATGTGGCCCTCCTGACACTCTCCTGTGGAAGAGGATTGGGGACATTTGGTCAATAGCACTGAATGCCTCCCATCTGCCTGCCACTGTGTCCTGCCTGTGACTTCTTCCCAAGGCCTGGGTCTGAGTGTCACATTTCTGTGTCACTAGAAACATGGATCATGAATTGAAGAAACACTGTTGAGGCTAAAGATGAATTGGGGTGCCACATTTGAAGGGCAGAGGGAGGGTGAACGAGACCGTGGGTTAGGGTGGTAGCAAGTAGTCTGCAGAGGCAGACTGCTCTCTGACCCTGGGCAAGTTACTTGAGTTCCTTGGGTCTTCTTTTGCTCATTCATTCATTCATTCATGGGCCCAAGGACTCATGGTGAGTCCCAGGCCGTGGATTCTTACTCAGCACGTGTTCAGCTCCTGCCCCAGTGCTGAGGCCTGTGCACTGGGATGATGATCCCTGTTTCTGTTACGGGGTCCTGGTGGTCTTTAAAGAAGGATGTTAATGCCGGTGGGGTGGGAAGTGGGCTCCTTCCCCCCATCACTGCCCTGGCACATCAGCCCTGATGTTCTGGACCCCCCATGCTTCACCTGTGTGTGGCTGGTAGGGCAGCACCTTTTCTAGAAGCGGGAGCAGGTAGAAGGACCCCTATAGGCCTTGCCCTTCCTCTTCCACTTTGGAGACTCTCAGGCTGAGCTTGTAGGCCCGTAGGAAAGGTAGCGAGGTCATCAAAAGCTGGAGAACAAGCTTGATTGGGTGTGGAGCTGGGATGGTTGTCTGGCCTGTAGAAGGGGGGAGAACCCCTCTGTTAATTGCATTTTTCCGCTCGAGTCCCCCTTGTGGCATGTTAAAGAGCCAGCCGTGTTATGGAGCTTCGCTCTTGTGCTTTGTCACCTGCTTGGTCTCTGGTGACTTCCAGAAGGGCCAGGAGACACTACTGGAGGTGATGAGATTCCGGGTACTTCTGTACTGGTTTAGCCTACTATTCTTAGTCCTAATTCCTTCTTTTTCAGGGCCTCTCTGCTTTCCCATCTGGAATAGAGGGAGAGGTCGTGGGGGTTTATAGCAGTGGCCTCACTCTTGGCTGGTCACCAGAGTTCCTGGAGTACTATGTAGACAAGTGCCT